AAGGGCTGAGGGGCCCTGCCCCCCCCCCCCCCCCCACATCCGCTGTTGCGGTCGGCCACAGCATCAGCCCCGCCCCTCGACCATCCTCACGTCCTTGATTATAGGTGGGCAACCTGCCATTCCGGCGGCTGTGCAAGGATCTTGGGTGCGAGGTGACATGCGGCGAGATGGCGCTGACCACCAACCTGCTGCAGGGTCAGGCCAGCGAGTGGGCCCTGCTCAAGCGCCACCCCTCAGAGGACATCTTTGGCGTGCAGGTGGGCGCAACCCATACAGCTCCGCGGCCCTGAGGCCAGGAGCTTCAGCCGTGTGGCGTGCTGTCGGCACACAAGCCGCTAGCGCTGCACAGGCCCGCTCCATAGACTTGCTGCAACATCATATTTGATCCAGCTCACCCCGCCTGGCTCGCGTCAGTTCCAGTCACCCTCATGCCATTTGGAGGTTGCAATGGAGTCTCAAGCCCTCTCTCCACGTTGCCCGCCCAGGTGTGTGGTGGCTACCCCGACTCCATGGCGCGCCTGTGCCAGGTGGTGAGCGATCACGTGTCCTGCGACTTTGTGGACATGAACTGTGGCTGCCCCATTGACATCATCTGTGCGCGCCAGGCCGGCAGCGCACTGCTCACCAAGCCGCGGCGCTTTGAGGAGGTGGTGCGTGCGGCCTGCGGCGCCCTGGATGTGCCTCTCATTGTCAAGATGCGGTGCGAGGGGGAGGGGTATGACGTATGAGGGGGAGGGTGTGCGGGATGTGTGGAGTGTGTGAGGAATATTTTGGAGGGCGGAGTGAGATGAGCATGAATCCTTGCCCTGCAGTGGCCTTGAGGGCACAGTTGCGAAGCTCAAGCAGGCGCAGCTATTCCTGCAACCCCTTGCACACATTCATGACCGACCTTGCTGGTCCCGCCCCCCCCCCCTCCTGCCTCCCGTCCCTGTCTCGGCCGCAGCAAGGGCTACAACGACGGCGCTGATGTCGCCCACGAGCTAATTCCCCAGATTGCGCAGTGGGGGGCAGCCGCCATCACTCTGCATGGGCGCACCCGGCAGCAGCGCTACAGCCGCCAGGCAGACTGGGACTACATAGAGCGCTGCGCGGGTGTGGCGGCGGGCGTTGGTCTGCCGTTGGTGGGCAACGGCGACATCATGAGCTACCAGGACTGGGCGCAGCACATGGCGGGCGGTGATGTCACCACCTGCATGCTGGGGCGTGGCGCGCTCATCAAGCCCTGGATCTTCACAGGCAGGCTCAGGCATTGAGGCGTTGGGAAGCTAGAGGCGGTCAGGACAATGCATGTGAATGCTTAAGGGAAGCTGCGTTGGGGCCGATTGCGGGGGCGTTTGGCAACACATAGTTGCACGTAGTTGCAGAAGCAGAATCACGAGACAGCAGTATTGCATCAACCCGCCACACATTCACAAGTTGTGATCCACCGGCTACTGTTCGTCCTGCCCCTGGCCCCCACCGCGAGCAGAGATCCGGGAGCAGCGCGTGTGGGACATCAGCTCGGGGGAGCGCTTCGACCACCTGCGGCAATTCTGCAGCTACGGCCTCGAGCACTGGGGCAGTGACGACCGCGGGGTGGAGGCGACCCGCCGGTTCCTTCTCGAGTGGCTGAGCTTCACGCACAGGTGGGACCTGGGGAAGAATGAGGCGCCGCGTTGGTGTCCCCGAGGTTTCGCAGCGGGCCTCCCGCGTACGGCTTGGATGAAACATGCGCCCTCCCCGACTTGCTTGAAGGGTCCCCAGCAATGTGCGGCGGCAGTACTGCGCTGCTGCTCGTCACCCAAGCACCGCCCCCCATTTCCAAGAACCCCTGGACCAACGCGCTACCCCCTCTTTCAACAAGGAGCTCTCACTCCAACCTCCTTCCACCCAGGTATGTGCCCGTGGGCCTCTTGGAGGTGCTTCCGCAGCAGATGCACTGGCGGCCCCCCAGCTTTGTGGGCCGCAACGATCTGGAGACGCTTCTGGGCAGTGGCAGCGCTGCCGACTGGGTGCGCATCAGCGAGATGCTGCTGGGGCCAGCGCCGTCGGGCTTCACTTTCAGCCCCAAGCACAAGAGCAACTCTTACACCTTGAGTGCTGCCGACGCCAGCCTGCTTGCTGGAGGCACTGTGCCAGCTGTCACCATGGGTGGTGAGGGAAACGAAGACGGCGAGGAGAATGGCTGACCATGGGTCTCGCAGCCTGCTGCTCGCCACATGCATCTGGCACGTGTCACCCCTTTCTTTCTTTATATACATGTATTGTGTTCACTGCATCATTTGGTGTGGGTATGGGCAGGGTTTGCTCACGCCGGCACCACATGATGCGTTATCGTCTTTAAGGCAACATGCAAGGCTTTTTGCAGATGCTGATGCAGATGCGGTCAGTGTGTCGCAAGTTTGTAATTTTCCTGCGTAGATCTGGAGAATCCGGCGACAGTGCTGTGTGTGTCTGGGGAGTGCAAGCAGCGGCCTGCCTGTGTCCTCCCAACTGCATAAGGAGCTCAGTTGGCGCTACGTCAGTTCAGTAATCGCATTAGTCTGCCGTATGTATATCCATGAAGCCCTGTTTTTGGCGGTCATGGTTTGGGTGTGGCGGCAAAGCGAGGATATCGCACATGGTATTCTGTCTGTCGGCTCTGATCACCTGTCAGGGGACCACTGCATGGTAGCGCCCCACAAACCCATGCAGCAATGGGTGTCACCGAGCGGGCTTACTGACACCAGTCTGCCTAGCGATGAGATAATGGACACACACTGTGACGCTCCACCAAACGCAGTGATGCCAGGCCGTATTTTTCCTGCACCTACCACAGCACCCTTTTGGAAACGGCAAGGCTGCAAGCAAGCCTGCAACATGTCTCACTTTGACAGCCGCGATTGAGCTACTGACAGTCGAGCTTCAGAGGCACAGGTCTGTGTCATGCACATACTGCCGTCAGGTCTTGTCGATGTGGCTCTGGTGCCCAAACTGTGCGTGGGTGAAAGACCATTGAGCATAAGCCTTGCTGGACTGGCACTCGATGTGGTTTGCGTGGACGGATTCTATTTACAGACAGTGCCATGTTTGCCCACCACATAGGTTCGGCGATGGACGTGAGCTCCTCATGCGGTACAGAGGCAGCTGCAAATTCTCAGCGCAGAGAGCGGTGCCCGTCAGCCACAGCCAAGTGAGACAAGGTGTCCGACGAGGGGTTGCAAGTGCTGAGCGGTTGTTCAAGATGCCTTCAAAATAATCAAAGGCAGTGAGGCGCTGCCACGTGCGTGGCAGTTCGCGGGGCCGGGCGCAATGCACTCTGCTGTTGAACTTTCGGTTGCACGGCCGGGGGGTGCAGCACACCCACTTGCTGTCACTCTCCGTTCTCACCTTCTGCCTTGTCCTTTGCCTGGACGTGGCACGTACTTAAGCTGCAAGCCTGCCATACCACGTAATCCACAACTGACCCTTAAAACCAGGACCGTGGTCAAGCAAGGCGATCTCTCGATGGCGCTCGCCCTCTCCACCTCGCGTGTGGCCACCCGTGCCGTGGCCAGGACCTCCAGGAGCTACCTTGCGGCCCCCAAGCCCTTGATGCGCCAGTGTGGGTTCAAACCACAAAGATCTGCTGCTGGCGCGGGCTGATCCTCCGGGCGCGGGCTCTACTTTTGTCCCATCGCAGCAACCACGCGCCCTGATCAGGCTGGTTGCCGCGGGCTGTTGAGTTGTTGACACCCTGGCCCGCCCGCTGACGCCTCACTACGCCCACACCGCCACTGACCCTGGCCTCGTCGCCCGACACCACAACGGGACACCCTTGTGGCATTGCGATGGTGCAGCCCCTCGCCATGTGGTCCGCGCAAGCTCAGGTTAGCGCTCACGAGGGTTGGCAAAGCAAGCTGCAGCAGAAGTGGCCTGTGCAGCCGCTGTGGTGGCCTGGGCAGCCATCTGTGCCAGTTGTCAACAGGAGCGGCGCGGTGTTCGAAGGGCCTCGCTTGCGGGATGATAGTCGACTGATTGCTGGTGTGCCAGGTCGACAGCGCCTTGTCGTTAGCGGCTGGGACGCTGGGACAGCGCGCGCACATACAAGCAGTGGTGCTTGGCATGGGAGCAGCTTGCTAACAGAGGGCGAGGCGGCCGAGGCGTTGGCGGGGCGTCTGCCCATTGAAGGAGAAGGCGCACACCAGGCTAGCGTGCTGCATGCATTCCGCAACCGGACACTGTGATAAAACCGACAAGGCTATCCTGTGTTTGGGGACTTGCGCCATACGATCAAATCAACCGCAGCACTTCTCTCCCCACCACTTGCAACCGTGCGCCCCCAACAGACTTTGACTTTGACCAGTTCCTGGCGGACATCGCCGACAAGGTGGGCTGTCAGCCAAGCACGCTTTGATCCGGGGGGGTAGGCAGGGTGCGAACAGCCCACTGTTGCTGGGCATCAATGGTCTTGCACTGGTCAGGGATGTCATCGTGAATCACGACTGCTATGTCCTTGCTCTCCGCAGTTTGAGAAGTCCGAGAACAAGCCAGTTGTCATCGGCTACTCTGTGGCGGCGATCGTCGCTTTCTTCACCGCAGAGTGAGCACTGTCCAGGCTCGCTGCTGCTGTCCTGCCGCGCCCTGTGCCGGGCATGAGTGCCTGCACGCAGGCAGGCTGCATACGTTACCGGCGCGCAACTCCGCTACACCCAATTGCCCCTCGCCCGCCCACCACCGGTGAATCAACTCTGCGCCAGGTGGCTCATCCACCTGCCTGCCCTGGACTTCGTGGGTGGCGCTGATAAAGCATATGGGATCACATGCCCTCTCATTACTGCGATGGGTTGCGGGGCCTGCCGCTGTATGAATGTCCAAGCAGGTTGCCTGTGGGGGCGCAGCCTTCCTCCTTTGCCGCTTTTGCTGGTCCCAGGACACTCCTGATGGACCTATTCCACTGTTGTTCCCACCACCACCATTCCCCCCAGCTCCTGGGTTTCCCCATCCAGCTGATCGGCCTGCTGGCGGTGCCCTACCTGGCCATCCGCTACCTGGCCGACGGCGGTGACGTCGGCAAGGACGTCGGCACATACACCTCCACCATCATCAAGAAGCTGCCTGGTGCGTGCATGTAGGGTCCAGGGCACCACGGCTTGTCGATGCTGATGGTGACCGACTGATGCATGGGCAGCAAGTTTGCAGCCAACTGTCGGGGTGTCCCACAATTTTGACAGATAGAGAGAGCAATTTGTCCAGCTCAGAAGCAGGACTGCAGCACTGGCATGCTAGCGACTTCTCCTGGGTATTCGCGTCGCTCGCCGCAGGCTTGGACAAGTAAACAGGAGACAGCAAGGTGTTCTGGGCGTCAGGTCTTTTGCGTCGCCCTTAAGGATGAGTACCCTGCAGTGTCCGACGAGCCCATTTCAAGATTTGTGGCTGCTCCCATACAGCATTTTTGAGAGCACTGCTGCCCTTGTCATGCTACTGGCGCGCTGAAACCACCGTGCGTGCCTGCCACAATTCAACCTCCGTACGTCCACCACCCAGCTGCACAGCACTTGCTAGGATGTGTGTGGATGCAGTAGTGGCACGAGTGAGCTTATGTTGTAAAAATGCGTGACGGCTCATCCTGGAATGCGGGCCGGGACAGCTATTCTGGGCGGCGATAATCATCCCCTACTGCAGCTCCCTCTGCAAATCTCCGATTCAGGCACAGGAAGAAAACTGTTGTGAGAACGTTTCAGCCGGCCATGGCAGTCAGAAGATTACTTCGTTATTTATTCACGAGACAAGTTGACTGTAATTGGTGGAAACCGATCTAATGCATTGATACAGGTCCTGTGGCTAAAAATGCCGGAAAACCTGCCGCATGTCCTCAGAGAAACTGCCAGTCACTCATCAAACAGCAATGTCTTGCGCACCGAGTGAACTTCTGCTGGGGTCATCGCCCCGCCCTCCGCTGCGGCCACGCCCACGCAGACGTGATCCTGCCCGGCCTCCCCGCCGCCCGCATCAGCCCCTTCGCCCGCGGCGGTGCGGCTGGCCTTGCCCCCACCTGTGGCGGGCGCACATGTGAAGAACAGCTCCTGTTGCCCCTGGCCCACCTGGCCCTGGTCGTGACCCGTTTGCTGCGTGTCGGGCTGCACGGTCAGCGCAAGCCCCCGCTCGGCCGTGAAAAAGCCCTGCGGCTCGTCCTCCTCATCCCCGCCGCAGCCGCTGTCCGTGGCGGCCCCCGCCATGCAGGGCCTCAGCCAAGCAGCGATGGGGGAGGCCAAGTCCACCACTTCAGACTCGTTCGCAGCCCCGCAGCTGGCAGGGCGTCCTGGAGACAGCATCCCCGCGGCGTCAACGGCGTCGGCGTCGCCCCCACCAGAGTCAACACGCCCCGGCAGCCAGAATGCCTCAGCCACAGACGCCCTTGGGGCGTGAGTGGCCGTGCCAGATGCGGCACAGCTGCCACCACCTGATGGCAAGCCGCAGCTGCCATCCTGCCCCACAACAGCAGGCAGCATGTGGACTCTCCCGGGGCTGCCGCTGTCAAAGCTGGCGCCGGCGCCGCCGTCGAGCGTTGCGGCGACCTCCTCAGCCTCGGCCCTGTCCCGCGCAGCCACCAGCAGCGGCAGCGCCCCCAGGTCAAGGCGCGGCACGACCGAGGGCCGCGTTCCTGAGCTGTTGAGGCCGCCGGCGCCCTCGGCTGCCGCCGCACCGCCGGCGCTTGCCAGGCTGAACACTGCCTGTGACTCCCCCTCCCCTTCCCACACCACTTCGCCCGCCGCGTCGTCTCCATCCTCAAACTCGGCTGCGGAGCCCAGGCTTGAGCCGCTGCCATCGCCCTCCTCCCCCAGCGCTGCAAGCCGCTCAAACGACAGCCGCAGGTCAGCGGCGGCGTCGCTGCCGGGCTGGGACCCGCGAGACAGGGACGCACTTGCAGCTGGTGAGCCTGGAGAGCCGACACTCTCCTGGGCATCTTGCTCCTGGTCCTCCTGCTGCCGCTGCTCCGGCTGCTCAACCTGGGGCTGACCACCCTCCAGCTGGGCCGCCACGCTGCCGGGCCCTGCCGACACCTCACTCTCGCTGCCTGTGGCGGAGAGCTGTTGCCCGCCAGCGGCAGCAGCGCTGGATCGTTCCACTGCCAGCCCTTGCCCCACCAGGTGCTGCACCTGGACCTGCCCAGGCAGCAGGGACTGCCCCAGCTGGGTCAGCACGGCCGCCATGCTCTCCTGTGACTCAAAGCGCTCGGCCAGCGACGCCAGCTGCGACAGCGCCTCGATGGCGGGCCCGGGAGCCGGCGGCGCGCCTTTGCGAGCACTTGATGCGTCCGCCGGCAGCGCCACCTGCTCCGGCACCACGGTGGCAGGCGCTACGCTGTCCTCTGGCCCTGAGCAGGTTGAGCCGAGCGCTGATGATGACGCTGCCCCTGCCGCTCCCTGGGCATGGTCAATGCTGCCCCCCGGGCAGGTTGGCTGCCCGCTCCCAGGACCCTGCACCTCGGTTTCGCTCTCGGCACGTGCCGACGGTGCCAGCGGTGCCTCTGGATCCAGGCTGTCTGAGGCAGTCCCGCGCGTGCCTGAAAGTGCGCCTGCGACTGCCTGGTTTGCGCGCACAGCGCCAGCAAGGAGAGAAGCTGGCGCGGTGCAGGCAGAGCGATCGTCGCTCGCGCCGATGTCGCTGGGCGCGGCAGCCTCCACCCGCTGTGCCAGCTGCAGCTGCAGCTCCTCCACGCGCTGCTGCGCCGACGCCAGCTCAGCCCTGGCAGTGATGGCACAGCAATGAGTTGAGGCGATGTCGGTCTTGCCGGGGGTCGCATAAGAGTGACTCAGCACTGGCACAACACGCAGGGCCCGCGACACGGATGTGCCCTCCGCCATTACCACGCCACTGCCGTCCATACCTGGCCATCTCCAGCTCCACTGTGGCATTCTCCCGCTCGCGCGCCTCCCGGCGCCCGACGCGCTTGGCCTCGTCCAGCCAACCCTGAGGACAGGTAGGCGGGGTTGGGGCCAGGGATGAGTGTTGCGAAGCGCTCGGCTGGTCGCCGAGGGGCAGCGAGCGTTGCAAGGGCCTGGCCGCCACAGGGGGCCCTGGAAAAAGCACAGCAGGAGACAAAACCACGACAACCCACGCTGACGCGCCAGGCAGGATGCTCCCCGGGGTTGCTGAAGCCAGTGGGGTATGTTGATGTGGCCCGCCTGAATGTGGGCTCCCCCCCTGAATCCCCCACCTGCATCTTCTGCACCTGCGCCAGCAGGTCGTCGCGGTCCAGGTTGGTGCGCGACACCTCGTCCTGCCACTGCGCAGTAGGAGGCAGCGGGTTGGCGACAACGTTGGCCGTGCAGAGCACAGAACAGGACAGGCAACAAGAGCATGAGCAGCGCTTTCGTGCCGGACAAGGAGGGGGGCTTGGACACCCCAGTCCTTGCTTGTTATTCTACGCGCCTGACGCTACAAAGCGTGTGCCAGCACCAACCCACACTCGTCCCACGCACTTTGGCCACATCCTGGTGCCCCGCCTCCAGCATCGTGCTCAGCTCGGCGACGCGGGCCTGGGCCGCCGCCAGCTCGGCCGCCACCTTCTGCGGCTCAGCGGCCGCAGCCGCCAGGCTCTTGCGCAGCGCCTCCGCCTCCGCCTCCGCAGCCGCGACGGCCGCCGTCTTCGCCTCCACCTCCTTGAGAACATCGGCAGCTGCCGCTGCCCTCGCGTCCAGCTCGGCCCGCAGCGTGCCCTCGGCCTCGGCAGCTGCGACGAGACGCGCATGCGCCTCGTCCAAGGCCGCCCGCTCCCCTTGCGCTAGGTGCTGCTTGCGATCGCGGTCAGCAGCAGAAAGGGCCTGCCGCATCTTCTCAGCCTGGCCCTCCTGCACGGCGGCGGCCAGCTCTTTGCGAGCCGCCGCTGCCGATTCCTCCGCTGCGCGAGCAACCGCTTGGGCCGCCTCGGCGCCGCCGCGCGCCTCCTTCAGCTGGGCCTCGAGCTCGAGGGCGCGGCCCTCGACCGCCGCCAGCGCGGCTTGCGCCGCAGCATGAGCAACAGCCTCGCGCTCTGCGCGCGCCGCCAGGTCGACCGCCTCCTGCTGAGCCAGCTGCAGCTGCTGCGCCATCTCGCGCCGCGCACCCTCGACCGTTGCCACTGCGGCCGCCGCCTCCTCCTGGGCGCTCTCAAGCTGCTCAAGCAGCGCCACACGCGCAGCCTCAACCTCCTCCTCACGCGCCGCCGCGGCCGCCGCTTGCTGCTGCGCCTCGTCTGCACGTGCCGCTGCAGCCGCCACCGCCTCCTGGGCGCTCTCAAGCTGCTCAAGCAGCGCAACACGCGCAGCCTCGGCGTCCTCCTCACGCACCGCCGCGGCCGCCGCTTGCTGCTGCGCCTCGTCTGCACGCGCCACTGTGGCCGCCACCTCTTTTTGGGCGCTCTCAAGCTGCTCAAGCAGCGCCACACGTGCAGCCTCGGCCTCCTCCTCACGCACCGCCGCGGCCGCCGCTTGCTGCTGCGCCACGTCTGCACGCGCCGCTGCAGCCGCCACCGCCTCCTGGGCGCTCTCAAGCTGCTCAAGCAGCGCAACACGCGCAGCCTCGGCCTCCTCCTCACGCGCCGCCGCGGCCGCCGCTTGCTGCTGCGCCTCGTCTGCACGCGCCGCTGCAGCCGCCACCGCCTCCTGGGCGCTCTCAAGCTGCTCAAGCAGCGCAACACGTGCAGCCTCGGCCTCCTCCTCACGCACCGCCGCGGCCGCCGCTTGCTGCTGCGCCTCGTCTGCACGCGCCACTGCGGCCGCCACCTCTTTTTGGGCGCTCTCAAGCTGCTCAAGCAGCGCCACACGTGCAGCCTCGGCCTCCTCCTCACGCACCGCCGCGGCCGCCGCTTGCTGCTGCGCCTCGTCTGCACGCGCCACTGCGGCCGCCACCTCGTTCTGGGCGCTCTCAAGCTGCTCAAGCAGCGCAACACGCGCAGCCTCGGCCTCCTCCTCACGCACCGCCGTGGCCGCCGCTTGCTGCTGCGCCTCGTCTGCACGCGCCACTGCGGCCGCCACCTCGTTCTGGGCGCTCTCAAGCTGCTCGAGCAACACCACCCGCGCAGCCTCAGCATTCCCAGTGCTTGTTCCCAGCAGCTGCACCTCGCCTGCAGGCACAGCGGTTGCGCCAACCTCATGGACTGCAATCTGAAGCTGCTCAGGTGAAGATGCAAACTCGAGGTGGTTCTCCATGGTTGTGGCTGTTGATGATGACATCCGCTGCTGCTCGTCCAGCGCACCGACCTGATAGAGGGCAAACAACATGCACGACAAAGTGTCAGAATACGGCATGCAGCAAATCCGTCCTTGGCTACATGAACATGCTTCAAGAGCATGCAGGCCTCTGAGGCAGCAGCACGACTAAAGACCAGCAGTGGCGCACACACCCACACTGTGCTGGTGCACTGCAAACATAGCCTAAAGATTGACTCGCGTGTGCAACAAGGACGAGCCCACAGCCTGGGCGTGCACTTTTGTCACCTGTGGGCTTGCTTCAGCCTGGTCTGCCGGTCCAGTCTGTTGCTCAGCCACAGCTGCCGTTGCACCAGCTGCGGTGGCGTCCGCGCGTGCCTGTTCAAGCTGCTCCTCCGTTGTGCTGACAAGGGTTTGGAGCTCAAGGGAGCGCGCCTCAGCTGCAGCAAGGGCGGCTTGCATGGTGGCGGTGGCGGCGGCCTCTGCCTCTGCACGCGCTCTCTCCTCAGCAAGCTGCTGCTGAAGGGTGTTTATGGTGGCTTCGGCAGCCTCCGCCGCCTCTCCACGCTGAGCAAGCTGTTCCCGGAGCGCCGCCACCTGGTTTGGGTCAGGCCCGCGTGAATGGTCAGAAATCAGATGTGGGTCGTAGCACGATGTGCTTTTGGCAGCTCTCACTGCCACCTTTGCCCTGTCAACGCAGAAACGGTGGCTTACAGCGTGGATCACATCGCCCCTTGCGCTCGTGCGCCGATGAATTGCTGCACCACATGTGCGCGCCAAGGCCGCGATCCATTCCACAACACTGTTGGAGGCATGAAAACCACCTCCCTCAGGGCACCCACCTGGTCCGCCATACCAGCCAGCCCCTCTTGATCACTCTGGGCCTGCAGCCGCACAGCCTGTAGCTCGGCCCTTGCGGTTGCCAGTAGCCCAGCCGTGTCGCGCTGCTCTGCCAGCAGCAGGTCAAAGTCCATGTCGCGCTGGGCATGCTTGGCCTTGAGCAATGTGTGCTCCGCCTGTGCCGCCTCAAACTCGGTGTTGCGCTCTGCGAGAAGGGCCTGGGCCTCCATCAGTGAGTTGCGTGCTTCGATGAGCGCTGCTTCTGAGGCGCCCGCAATGGAACGCGCCTCCTCCAGCTCAAAGCTACGAGGGCGAGAGCGACAGGAGCGGCGTTTGATTCGAAAAGGCTTCAAAATTCTGGAGGGGCATGGCTGTCTTCGGGCGTTCCAATCACGAGTGCGGCCCTTAGAAGAAGCATGAAGCGGCATGCCAGGGTCTTGGGAGAGGACAGACCTGATCTTGGGCAGCTGCTCCACAGCTGCATGCAGGGCCTCCTCCCGTTGTCGTGTCTCATTGAGCTCCACCTGCACTTGCTTTCTGGCGCTCAGCGCATTGGCTAGCTCCTGTGCGGCCGCGGGTCGCATGCAGGATGTGCGGTCGGGGGACGTGGTGTCAGGGGCTATCTCATAATTTGGACCCGCGCGTTGCTCACAGCATGGCAGCATGCAATATGATGCCACATAATCACGGGAAAATGCCACATTCAGGGCGCGAGCAGAGGCCCTGCCGCTGCCTCACCATGTCCGTGTCGCCCAGCCTTCTTGTCAGCCTGTCGGCGAAGCTGGCGCGTTGCAGCGCGTCCTGCAGCTCGCGCTGCTTGTCATCCGCTTGCTGTAGTTGAGAGCAACAGAGATGGGGAAGCAGCAGGGCATGGCAACGTCGAATCATGGGGGTCAGGAACGTGGCGTGAGGGGCACGGCGCTGCAGCAGCAGCAGATCGTCAGCACTCACACGGCGGTAAAGCTTGAGCTCGCGTAGGAGCCGATCATTGTCCGCGCGGCATCGCTGCAGCTTTGAGTTTGTGTCGTAGTATCTGGCGCGCAGCGCCCGCCACCCTGGCAGGTCGGCTGGCTCGGGCGACACCTGGAGGCGCGGGTGGCGCGAGCACAGCACGAGCGGAGCACTGAAAGCAACACAGAGCGCACCGTCGGTCGCCATCATGGAGACATCAAGGGCGCACGCGGCAGAGTATTACGCAGGGTCACGTTGATGCACAGCAAGCTTGCTTGCAGCGCTTGAGAGGCGCGGGAGGGCAGAGATCACTTCAAATTTCAGCGCAGCCAGCCGGCAGCAGCCGGCTTTCCCTTTGCCTCTCCCATACTTGCGCTCAAACTTTAATACAAGTGTGTCGGTCCACCGAGCGCGGCTCACCCCTTGCCACTCCATCCGCGTGCGCTATCGGCCCGGTAGCCTGCTCTTTTGGAAGTGTGCTTCAAGAAAAGGAGTGTATCTAATAATTGAAAGTGGGTATTGGCCCCGCTCTCTTTGGCGACAACTGCCGGAAGCAGGAGCCGCCAGTGCAAGGGTGTGTGACACCCAGGTTGTCACCGCACGCTCGCTTGCTGCAGACCGAGACAACCAATTGCTGCCAGGGACGCACCGCATGCTTGCCCCAGCAACGGCTCCCGGACTATATGTCATTGCATGGGTGTTGTCGTGTGATAGGGGGGTGCGCCACTGGCTGCAGGGTTTGAAATACCGTACTGGACTCAGCCCTCCATATAGACCTGGTGTGGGCTGTTGTCCAACTAACCCCCCATAATCAACACCCCTGGCCGCCCTGAAGACAATCACCAACTATGACACAGTCTGCCGTGCAGCGTCTTAGTTTGAACCTATTGCTTTACGGCCATTCAAACCTTCCAAGCTGGCACCCCTCAGCGTTTTGTTAGCTAGCCAGTGTAGAGTGCCCAGGGTCCTGTCACGCACACATCGCGCAGCGCCACTCCAGTTTGCCCACTCTGGTCATGCTTCAAATGATAGCTGTGATGCGAACAACAAAACGTGCTTTTGACCAATCACCAGGGGTGAGTCTGGCATGTTATGCACCCAACTTGGCTGACGGTCCAGATGGCGGGTGCTGTGCAATGGGCATCACACGCAACCATACCGTACCAAGCGATTGACCCTGAGATCAAGATGTATACCTGAATTTCAAGACTCCAAGGTAGTTAAGGTATACTTATATCTTAATTTAATCCTCTATTGCTTACATAGGGCAAGCTGTCTGCGCGCAGATGTTCACAATCACAATGCTTGCCGGCACCGCCCCACCTTTGACGCCGCTTTTGTGCGTGTAACGTGCGCCAAAAAAGGCCACAATATTCGAAAGTTAACCTGAACGGCACGGGTGTGAGCCGGGAAACCTCCTGCGGAGCTGGTAGAAAGGAGTTTGAACGGAAGCTGCGGGTCGATTACCCAGCCCGCAACAGGCTCGCCCTCCTTTGTGAAGCGGTCCAAGCATACTTGTCTCATTCAAGCTTCGCTCGTCTGTACAATGGCCTTCTTCTGAGGCCGTTCCTCAACGTGCGGCGAGCATCTGCACTCGTTTCGGGGCCGTCCAGACGGCGCACACCGTGCTGAACCCCGCTAAGACAGTCGGAATCCCTGATATACGCCTTTTCGAAGCGAGCAGCCTGTGGGGCGCCGCCAGGATGGCGTTGCCAAGGCGCGCCACGCTGGCGTGGGTGCTCATAGCGCTGGTAGCAGGTGCGCGAGGGCAACCCGCTTGCTACTACGTTTCTCACAGCGACCAGCAAAAAGGTCTCAGTCGTTAAATGTAGGGTACAGCCCTATAATTGCCGGGTGCAATTTCCCGCGTCTGGAGTGATGTGCGCCACAAAGCGGGCGCGTAGAGGACCCTCAGGAGGCAGCCACAACTCTTCGCTGCTAGGTCAGGGCAGCCCGGACGAGGGTCGCTCCTGAGTCGCATTGTGTGGTGCCTGGCAAGAGTGTGGCTGCCTGCTCACACTGGCGTGAACGCTGGCTCCGGGCATCCACAGGCGCCCAGGTCCAGCACGCGTCAGCGGCATTCAGCTTCAAGATGCCGGTCATCCCTTTCTTCAGCGTACTACGCGGTGGATATGTTGACCTGCTCACCAAGCAGCCAGTGACAACAACCTTTGCAGCAGCTGAGCTGGGGCCGACACCGCCAGCTGCGCAGGGCTACTTCCAGCCTCAGAACAGCCTGTTCAACCCGGCGCCCAAGCCGACATCGCGGACCATTTTCCCAATTACCATCCCCTCGCTGGAGTTTTGGGAGAAGTGCTTCAAGGAGACTGACCCGTTGAGGTGGGGTATGCGTAAAGAGCAGCGGGCATAGCAGGTGGCTGCTGCATCATGAAACGCAATAACAAGCAGGCAAGCAAGGGTACCTTGTATGGAGTTGACAGAAGTGATCCAGAAGCACTGTGGTGCAGTCCGGCGCAGAGCTGACCCCTTTTTTCATACCTTGTAACCCTCCCCGTCCGGCCATCTGCTTCCAGCGCGCTCATCACCAAGTGCAACTACCAGGACACGTTCACGACGTGCTCGCAGCTGGGCCTGATGGGCTACCTGCCCAAGGGGGTGCAGTCCTTTGAGGCAGACAAGCTCACAGGTGAAAGGTTGGCGCTGCTGGGTGGGACGCGGCCATGGCAGCGATGTGCCTAATGTGCCAAAGCAAGGAACCCAGCAAGCCCGCCTTTGCGACATGCAGCTGCGAGGGGCTGCTATGAGTCAGACTGCCCACCGTATGCACACAATCCTCGCCCTTTCACCTCGTACCACCACCCATTCCTCTTATGCTGCTGTTGCTCAGGCTCCTTCAATATCCCCACCGGGTGCACGGCGGGCAGCCTGGGTGTCTCATACGACAAGCTTTTCCGGCTGACATTTAACTCTCCCCAGATACCCGTCCTGGCTGTCATCACCAAAGACGCTATCGGGTCCATGGTCAGCTACTTCGGCACAGGGTCGACCCAGGTGGGGCACTGTCTGGGTGGGTGAGTAAAAGATTTGGAGCGGGCAAGACAGGGGTACACGAGGGGGAGCTGGCAAGTGCTGTTATAAACGAGAAGCGGCCGCGAGGTCATACGCCAGGGCAGCTGGGTCGATAAAATCCTGGGTGGGCTGTGCTCAAAGGCTATTGACAGCATGTGTGGTCCTTCGTCGCAATCTCCTCACAAGTCCCAAATATCCACGTGTGTGCCCTCTCTATCCACCCCGCAACCTGGCACCTGTAGGGCCGCATCAAGCACAGGCTGGCGCACAAAGCAGAGTTTTGCTACTCGCCCACGCTGAGTGAGATTGGTGTCAGCAAGACCGCCATCTACTCCACAGGCATGCAGCCTGGCACCGCAGCCTGGATGTTCTCGAAGAGCGTCGCCCTGGCGGGGCCCTACAACACCAACCGCGCGCTGATGTTCAATGGCGACACGGTCGACGCCACTTGGACGCTCGCCGCACAGAAAACTGGCACTGACGTCAACTACCAGGGCGTGGTCAGCGGCCAGATCAGCATAAACAACCCCACCCCCGCGCTCATCACGGTCAATTCCATCGTGGATCAGATTACTGGGGGCCCGACAGCCACCGTGTCTTGCCCCGTAGGTACGCCCTTCACAGTGCCCGCCTGCAGCTTTGCCACCTGTCAGTACACAGCATACTATCCTACAGCGCCGCCGGCCGGCACCTACACCAGCGCCGCCCAGATCTCGTTTCAGGTGGGGACCACGCTCGCCAGAGCCGGGCGATCCCTCTTTGCATGAGATGCTCAGCGCACCAGCTCAGTGATCCCGTGTCATAGATATCCAGCTGGGACTGTGCTGCATTCCGTGTTGCTCTGACATACAATCGAGTCTGCACTGCTGTCAGCATCCTGCCTATTGGCCACGTGCATCGTGGGGTCTTCTTGCTCACTCTTGATCCCGCCCCATTGCGGACACTCTTCATCAGGTGTTGGGTTCTCAGGGCTACCCCTCCAGCGTGCAGGGCACGGCTGCATTCAACGTGGGCAGCGTGGGGTCGCTTTCGGCGCTGTCCACTAGCGCCGGCGTGGTGCCGCAGGGCAGCGCCCTTATCACCGACTCCAACAGCCCGCAGCAGAGCTACATGTTCAGCGGCCCCGGCTCCCAGTCGTTCCAGAACAAGCTCAGCTGCTCCTCTGCCTCGCCCGGCGGCCCCGTCACCCAGGCGGCAACGTTGACGGGTGCAAACGGGCAGCAGATCACACAGAGCGCGACGGTGCAGAAACAGTGCTACGACTTGCAGGTGTCTGTCGCCCCCAAGGCCTCCCCCTACGTTGGCCGGTGGGGTTGGAGTGTCACAAAGACGGCATCTCCCTCGATGCTGACTCTCAAGCCCGACAGCCGTGTGTACGAGGGCGCTTCGTCTGAGCAGCTGGGCAGCAACTACGCCGACACCACCACTGGGGACGTCGTCTACACCGTCACTTACACCCGCAGCGCGCCGGCCGGAGCCGCCGAAGGGAAGCCGGTCTTTGAGGCCAGCGGCGACGTGTACGTGAGCAACAGTGCGCCCATCAACGCCAGGCTGCAGGGCGTGTATGTCAGCGTGACCAACAGCCGCCCTGGCGGCCAGCCCTTTGTCGCACAGGCCACCTGCCCTGTTCTCAGCGTGCCCGCCGGCCAGCGCATCACGTGCCAGTGGCGCGCCACACCAACATTTAACCCAGTGGGCCAGCCCGTCCGCGCGACGGCGCGCTACCTCAACACTCACAACGGCGAGCCCAGCGGCAGCACGACCGACTTCAACAGTGCCCCGGCCACGATCGGTGGCGGCACAAGCCAGGACGGCTCCGCGGCCGCCAAGAGCTTCACCACTTCGCGCGGCCTGCTGCAGACCTGGGGCAGCGGGCAGAGGGGCCACGCCAGTGTGGGCGTCCTGCCCGAGATGGAGGCGGGCGCGCTGCCCTCCCCAACCATGGGCTTCTTGCCTGAGATGGAGGCGGCCGTGGCGACCACCATCTATGCGGTGGACGGCTCCCCCCTGGTCGTGCCCAACACTGTCGCTAACGGCACCGGCGTCATTGTCAGCGGCAACATGCTTGCCGCCAACGGCGTGCCCCCAGCAATCGCGATGGCGGCGGCGCAGGGGCGCGGGGTGATGCTGCCCGGCATAACGAGTGGCAACGGCTTCCTCATGAACGAGGCCGGGCCTGGCAGCGCAGCCGCGCAGCTCTCTGGCCTGCAGGATGAGTGCGCCGAGGTGTCAGACACGTTTGTGCTGGAGGGGGGTGCCGTGAAGGGCAAGCTCATCTCTGGCAGCCAGCCGACAGGGCGCATCTGCGCCAGCACCACCTTCACCTACACCATGCGGTACGGCCCCTACGCCGATTGCCTGGTGCGCAAGTCGGTGAACGCCGCCAGCTTCCAGACCGCGGACACGCAGACCGCCGGCAGCGACCAGGCTGATGTGTCCATCAAGGTGGAGGGGTGTGTCAACCCAGCGGCCCTCAAGATCGCGCCGCAGCGCCTGACCACCAGCGCCAAGGGGGGCTACACCTGGACCGTCACCAAGCACGCCGACCGCGACGATCTGGCGCTGGGCCAGGAAGCCACCGCCACCGTCACCTACACCGCCGCCTTCAAGCGCTCCGGCGCCAAGGCTGGCGCCACCATCGCCGCCGACGCCATCATCTCCAACCCCACGGCCTACCCCATCCCGCTGGAGTCCCCCACGTACACCGCCACCACCATGTGCGACGGCCAGGCCAAGACCACCAGTGGGCCCGTGGCGTGCGACGGCGTCATCGTGCCGCCCAAGGGCAAGATCGGCTGCAAGGTCGCAGCATCGGTGCCCTGCGCAGGAAATGGCGCCTACACCATTGTGCTGGTGGCCGGCGGCGGCTACACCGTCACATCGCTGCCCACGCCCTTTGTCTTCAATGCCACTCAGCTGGCAGCCGCCAGCACCAGCAGCCAATGCGCTGTGGTAAAGGACGAGTTCAGCACAGGGGCGGGCCGCGTGGGTGGCGCATTGGTGTCTGGTGTGCGCCCCAACGGCAAGCTGTGCGGCAGCAAGACCTTCACCTACAGCGTCAAGTACGGCCCCTTCTCCAAGTGTGGCAAGTACCAGGTGAAGGGTGGGAGGGGGCGGCATGCCCAACAAGTGTTGGGTGAAGGTGGCGTGCTGTGGTGCTGTGCGATGCTTGCCCGGTCTGTAATGCGACAACACAGACCGCCTGCTTGCTGTGTTGAGAATGTAGGGTTGGAATAAAGATTTTGCCAAATATCCCGTGGCCGTCCGCTCCTGGAGCTTGGAGAGATCCAAGCTCATAGGATCAAACTTTGAAGCATCAACCTGGTATGGCCGCTGCATGCCTTATTGCGGACAGCTGCATCAGGTCCTTAGACCCACCCTTGACCGCCCTGAATCCTCGTTGCAGGCAATAAACGTAGCATCCCTGACATCCAACAGCACTACACGCCCAGCCACTGCGACGTCTGCGCTGCCTATCACTGTGGTGGGCTGCAACGTGTACACCGACATGGCGCGCACGGTTGACTGCGTCAAGGGCGCCTCGTACTGGCCGCGATGCAACGTGGGGAATGACACCAAGTGCGCCAGCGGCTGGAAGCTGCTGCCTGGTGGCAAGGGCAAGTCCACGCTGTTCTTCCCCAAGAGCAACCAACGCGCAACGCGCACATACAGCGCCATGCTGGCCATGCCACCAGTGCCGAGCAACAGCACGGCCTCCAAGAAGGCATACGTCAACGCCGCGAAGCAGTTTGTGACGGCGCAGCTCAACTTCCTGAGTGGCGCGCGGCTGCCCACGCAGGAGCTGCAGGGTGCGTACGACACCCTGTCGTCTTTCTTGGCCACCGCCGTCGAGGGCAAGGCAATCGCCAAGCAGCAGCTGGATCTGGTGGTGGGCAAGACCACACTGCTTTCGCGCTACAACGATGCCACACTGCCAGCCACGTTCAAGGCCCCCCCCAAGTGCCGCTGACCGCCAAAGCTGCGCTCTCACCAACAGAATGGGAGGGCAGAGCGCATAGTCAGCTCACGCAAGCGCACGGCGCCCTCGTGTGCGCACCCGGGCGGATGGCTGCCACTCAATTGATTCATAAATGATTCAGTAGCGCCCGCGCCATCAATATATTTATGATCACAAACAATTGTCAAAGTGCTGTGCGCGCATCCCAAAGCCGCCTCAAGAGACACGCGCCCCACCCTCTTGGGCGCAACACTACGGCGAAGCAGGCCGCAATGCACCGCAACACCTGCGCACAGGGGGCAGAAAGTCCCTCTGCCTTCTCCCCCCCTCTGGCCGCCCTTGTGGCCACGCACTTCTCCCCAACACTTTGCAATTCGCACCTGTGCGGCCTCAGTGGGGTCCATGCACTTCCCCAGCCGCGTCACACTGCCGGCGCCGGCCTAGTCCTTGCTGGTGGGGCGCTCGAGCCCGCGCTGCGTGCTGATCGGCACAGCGCTCGCGCGCGGCGGCTCGCGCCCCTCAAATAACACACAGCGCTGTTGCGTCACCGCGTGCAGTGGTGCGCTGGACCGGGGCGACGTTGCGCGCTTACAGCCACACAAGCATGTGCGTTCGACGTGCGCCGCCGCTTGCAAATCTCATGGTGGGGGTCTCAGTGTGTGGGCATCCAAACGTGCACCACTCTCGTGCGGCCAGCACGAGCGCCGTGTTAGGCGGGTGAACCAAAACCATCTGTAACAGGAACTACACGACTTGGGAAGGACAAGGCGGAGAAAATGACATACAGCCAACTCTCCAGATCCAATGTTATGCGAAGGCACAATTTTGAATGAGCAGGTCCTGTTGCAGACCCAACAATGCCGAACATTCTACCCAGCCTATGTGCAAGCTGGACAGTGGGTCGTCGCGTCATCGCTTTCCGCCTGCGCCATCCCCACCGCTGCCACCGCCACCATGCGCAGCTGCAAACTCACGCGCCATGCTGAGGGGCGTGACAGCGCGCGCCGGCCCCTTCTGATGCGCCCACAAGGCCTTGGACACCTCTGCAGCCGCCCAAAAAGCGTCGTCCACAGCCGTCAGCTCAGGCAGGACTTTCCGCGCCTGCTCCCCGCGGTGCAGGCACATCCTGCGCCACCACAGCTCCCAGCGTGGCACGCCGGCCATCAGCGCCTTCAGGCGGCGCCAGGTCGCAAAGTCTGGGTGCGACTCCTTCCAGGCCTCCGCCGCCACCGTCCCGGCCCACAGCATGCCCACCCTGTCCTGCAGACCCACCCTGGCGGGGGGTGTTTGGGAGCGCAGGAAGTGGGAGAGTTGCGCAGGGAGGCAGGGCGGTGAGGGCTTCACCGCAGCAACCAGAATTGAGCTGCCGGCCATCGCATGTCACCATAATCTAGGCTACCGTTTCAGCAAGGAGTGGTAGGCTGCATCGCAGGGCACCAGCAAAACCCAGGCCACCCAGCCGCGGCCAGCCACGCACTCTGCGGCGTAGCGCAGCAGCTCCATGTGGTCGTCCGAGGCCAGCAGCAGGAACTCGAGGCTGCGCGGGCGGTACCTGCGCAGCACCCGCTCCCAAGAGTCTGGCGAGGTGTGCGCCAGGCGCTGCAGCTCAGCCAGCCGCCCGCTGTCGGCCGCTGCGCGCGCGCGGGGCCGCAGCGCTTCGTACGTCCCTGGCGCCAGGTGCTGCGGCCCCACCCATGCCGCCTCCAGGCGCGCAGCCTCGGCAAGCTGGGCTTGCTTTGCGGCCTCCTTTGCGCGCCGGGCTGCATCGGGGTCGAAGACCGGCCAGCGTGCCAGGAACGCGGCCCTCGGCTGCACCAGCGCCTCCGCCAGGCCGCCTTCGTAGGAGCGCCACCGCCGAGACGCTGTGAGGAAGCGTACGCGGCGCAGCACCTCCGCCACCCGCGGGTCGGAGGCCACCGCCCCAGAGGCGGTGGTCCCGCCTTCCTGCTTGTCCCCCCTGACAGTGGCGCTGCTGGTCGCAGCGTCGCTGCTTGCGCTGCTGCTGCCGTCGCCGCCGCTGCTGCTGCTGCCGCCGCCGCCGCCGCTGCTGCCGCTGCCGCTGCTGGTGCTGGTGCTGCTGCTGCTGCTGCTGCTGCTGCTGGTGCTGCTGGTGCTGCTGCCGCTGCTGTTAATATGACCTGCTGCCGCGCGCTGAATGTGCTGGGCACCTGCATCAGCACCCACACCAGCCTCTCCCATGCCCCCTGGAACGTCTCTTGGCGCAGTGACTTGGCCGTCGCTGCTGCTGCAGCCAGTGCTGCTGCTGTCTTCAACTGCTGCCTCTAGCCCAGCTTCCAGGGTGCTCCTCAGCCGCTGCGGCCCCCAGGCCGCCATCTCTGCCTGCCACGACGGCACGCTCGCCAGTGCTGACCTCAGGCCGCACCACAAGCCAAACAGTGAGTGTGCGGCCTGAAACGTGCGGCGGCCTTGCGTCAGCAGGGTGGCCAGGGGGGGCAACTGCGCGTCGCTGCCACCGCCCTCGCCGGCTGTGGCCAGGACATACTCGGCGCGATCCAGGCAGCCAGGAGCGTTCAGCGCGCGCAGCACGCGCCGCCAAGTGCCGCTGTCCCAGCCCTGCGCCTCGGTGCGCCAGGGGCCGCAGCGCTCAGTCACCTCCATGAGCGCTGACGCCCTGGCTAGCTGCTGCGCCGCGGAGCGGGAGGACAGCGCCGCGCCCCCAGGTGCGGCTGCAGCTGCGGCGGCGGCTGCGGTCAGCCCCTGGGCGGCCGATGGCGCGGGGGTTTCGGCATCACCGCCGCCGGGCGCGTTGACCTTTGTCTGGCGGCCTCCTGACCTGGCCATGCTGGCTGGCGTGATGCTGTCACTGCTCCGGCTGGTCTGGGTGGCCCTTTTGGCGCCCCTGATGCTGCCGGGCGCCTCGCCACCAGCGCCACCCTTTGGCGCTCTGTCACACGCAGCATCAGCGCCGGCACGCCCCTCTGTCGCGATGGCGCCGGCTGGGCCATCCCCGCTCGCAAGCGGCGCCGCGCCGTCAGCGAGCAGCAGGCGCCATGCGCCGTAGCGGTAGGCCGGGAACAGGTCTGCAAAGCCGTCCTCGTCCATGGCCACCGCCTCGTGCAGCCCCACAGCCCGCCAGGCGTCCCCGCCGTCTGCCAACGTGAGGAACTGCAGCCGGGGCAGCCCTTGCGCCGCCAGGGTGCGCAGCCACGCGGCCAGCTGGCGCCCCGCCAGCTCCGGGGACGTGAGCAGCTCCGCCTCCCAGGGGGGCCGCCCGCGCGCCACCCCCGCCACCGCCGCCCAGGACGGGTAGCCGCGGTGCGCGGTGGCAAAGGCCGCCTCGCGGGAGCAGAGGGCGCGCCACAGGTCGCCGGGGCCGCCGGCGGCGGGCGGCACCCCCGCGCGGCGCAGAAAGCGCAGCCGCTGCAGCAAACGGTCGCGCTCCTCGCTGTCAGAGGCGAGGCGATCCCACCACCCAGTCGAGCGCGCCTCCCCGCTGGCTGCCCGCCTACCAACCAAGGCGTCTCTGCTGCCGCCCTTCCCGCCGGCCGCCGCTCCGCCTTCTTGCAACTCGCGGCCCTCAGGGACCCAGGGCTTGCCGCCGCTGCGTTGGGCACTGCCGAGGAGCTGCTGCGCCCCCTCGTCCGCCAGGGCGGCGGGCAGGCGCTGCAGCCACTCTGCCAGCTGCTGCTGCCACTCTGGGCAGCCCTCCGCCTCGTGCTGCAGCGCCTGCCACGCGGCTGCGTACGCCGCCAGCCGCTGCTGCAGCGCGGCATTACTGCGCGCCACCAGGGCCAGCGCGTCCTGGTCCGGCAGCGCGGGCAGCGGCGGCCCCAGCCCGTGGGCGCCCAGGCCCTTGGAAAACGCCGCAAACTCGGCGTCGCTCATCGCCTGCAGACGGCGCAGGCTGGGGAAGGGCTGAGGGGCATCGTCGTCTGCATCCGCGCCTTTGACGGCCACAGCAGCAGCTCGCTGCCGCTGCTGCTGCGCCTTGCGCCGCCGCGCCGCCTTGGTGCTGCTGATGCCGGCTGGCGACAAGGAGTGCGCGCGGCAGACGAGCAGGCGCGCCCACTTGCCACGCATGCCGGCCAGCCACTCAGCCAGCGCCGGCCCCACCAGCTCGCGGTCAAACTCAGCACGCCACCCCCAGTCCCCCGGCGCCGCGTGCGCCACTCCGCGCAGGCCCTGCCAGGCACGAAAGTCCGGGTGCAGCTGAGCAAACAGACCCTGGTCCTGGAGCAGCGCCAGCCGCCCCGCCTGCAGGTGAACATCGAAAGAGCCTTCGCCAGTGCCGCCGGCAGCAATCCTGCCGTCGTTGCCACCACCCCTGCCGCTGGCAACAGCCAACAACTCCCCGTCAAAGCCGCCACTGCCGCCGCCACTACCGCCGCCACTGCTGCTAGCCCCGACGGCGCCGGCTTGCTGCGGGTGGTGTGCGCCCCAAGCCGGCACGATGCGGGCGTGGCGCAGGTAGTCCAGCTGCTCCCACCGCAGCTGGCTGCGGCCCAGCAGGACCAGCAACTGCCGCAGCGGCAGCCCGGGCAGCATCGTGCGCAGCGACTCGTGGTGCCGTCTCACGTGTTCGCTGCGGACCAGCAGCAGCGGCACAAGCAGGGCCACCAGGTCCGGCGAAACCAGGGAGGCCGCAGGGCCGGGCCCCAGCAGGCGCCGGAGCTCAGCAGCGCGCGCTGCCAGCGCCTGGGTGCTGACAAAAAGCAGCTCGGGGCGCTCGGACGCTAGGCGAGCCGCGCACTGAGGCGCCTCCGCTGCTTGCAGCGGCGGCACACCACCAGCGCGGCTTCCACCGCTGCTGCTGCTGCTGCTGCTGCTGCTGCTGCTGCTGCTGCTGCTGCTGCTGCTGCTGCTGCTGCTGTCGCTTGCTGCCGCCAAGGACTGCAGCGCCGCTGTGATCCCTGCCAGGCGCTGCTGCAGCGTCGCGGGGGTCAGGAGCAGCAGTGCAGGCGCCCGGCCGACGAGCAGCCCCAGCGGATGGGGTCCGTTGCCGGCGCCGCGGCTGCCGCTGCTCCCAGCGTCACTGCTGCCCCCAATGTCAACATGGGCTCCAGAGCCGCTGCCCGCGAGCACGGCCTGCAACCCGTCGAGCCGCGCAGCCACGCCAGCTCGTCCAAGTGTCATCAGTGCCTGCGGCGCGCCTGCCACGACGCGCGCCATCTGCGCCGCATCAATGCCCAGCAGCTCCTGGAGGCGTGCCGCCTCATGGCGCAGCGCGCCGGGCACGCGCGTCAGCAGCCGCGGTTCGCGCGCAAGCGCCTCGCTGGCCAGGGCCGCATCGCCACCCGCCAGCGCCACCAGAGCGTCCAAGCGGCGCCGGAAGCCCTCGGGGTCGCGCGACAAGCTGGGCCATCCGGGCAGGTGGGACGCCACCGCCGACACTGCAGCGGGGGAGAGGCCCGCGCGCCGCAGTTCGGCCCCCAAGTCAGCCAAGCCCTGCGCGCGCGCGGCGCCGTGGCGTCCGGGAGCCGGCGGTGCCGGCGCCGCCTGCGCCGCCGCACCCACAATGTATGCTCGTCTCACGGGCCACACCACAGGCAACAGCGGTGGCGCTGTGCCCGCAGGTGCATCTACTCTCGGTCCATGCAGCTGCTGAAGCCGCTCGCAGCCGCACGTCGGCCCTGCATCGATGTCAGCACCGGCAACGGTGAGGGTTGATGCATGACAGCCATTGAACAAGGGCGGGTGCACCCCTTGAGGCCACGCGGCAGCCGCCTCCAGAAGCAACAGGTGCAGCAGCTGCGGCGCAATGATGTGCACAGCGGTGGCGCACAGCCGCCGCACCATGCGCATGTGCACCGCCATTCTTGCAAGCAGCTGCGACCCTACGGATGAGTCCGAGAAGCCTATCAGCTCTGCAGCGCATCTACGGGCCTGAAAGCTCGCTGTACTCTATCATGTAACTCTTGAATTCGCGTGTGTGCATGTGCAACTTGCTTTAATGTAGGAAAGAACATTCGCTGTTCCCTTGCACGCACGGGCTTATTGCTGTGATCGTACGGTATCATTGATCACGGTCACTCCCGCAGTCATATCAGCCACAAGGGCTTAAAAAACAGCATGCTGCGCAGTACGGTACCTTTCCTTACACACCGTCACACTTTGGTATGCGTCTACTTTTTTGTCAGCACCACTGCAACGCGCAACGTCAAGCAAATTGGCATCATCGTTTGACCAGCAGCGGAACTGCGCCGAGAAGGCTCTTCCCGTGTACGTCACAAGCCATACCACAGCATACGCAGGCCTTTGCTTGCAATCATGAGCAGTCACAAGATCCGTGTCAGCACCACACTCCAGGGAGCCAGGGCTGGTGTAATCAGCGACCCGACTGGCACAGGGCTCCTTGCTGTGGTGGAGTCCCGCGCAAGCGGCGCCACATTGATCGTTCCGCACGGAGGCGCCATCATGGCGCCAGTGCAGGACCCTGTAACCGGAGCGACGCTAGGGCTGCATAGCACAGCGCCGCGGCGCGTGCGCAACCCACAACCTCACAGCCGCAAGTTTTGGGTGTCCGGCGCGGCAGAGGTCGCCATCGACCAAATGCGCCGCTGCCCCCCGGTCACCCGCTGCACAAACGAGCGTGTCGGTACTGCGGGCCGCCCAACCGGCGTAGACCACACGCTCGCCGCCACACCGGTTGGGGGGGCGTCGCCGCTATACAAGCGCACATAGATGGCACACGAGTACATTGTGAGCTGTAACCCGTCAATCCGCCTGACAAGGGATGCCCCAGCTACCTTGGAGGCGTTTTCAGCCGCCACCGCTTCACCGGGGTGACACAGCAGCAGATGTAAGTATATCACAACACAGTTCGCGTAAGGATCGCATCCATCAGGCCAAGGGTTGAGATGCAGCATGATGTTCCACCTGCATCAGGATACACCAACAGTCTTCCAAACACCCTGTCCAAGATAGTATCATACAGTGGCAAACATGCCGCCGGACACAATATCCCTAAGAGAACACGACAGGGAACTGAAATGTCAGCTATGGGCTCCACCAGCCCAGCGCCGAGCGCCGTCTCCCCCAGTACCAGACGACACTGCACATCACGCACGTGGCACAGCCGCAAAATATGTATGCGTCCTATATAAAGGCTGTCGTCATGGATGGAGGGGCTTATGTTGTGCCGCTGAGGTTTAGGTGTTTTTGCTTGACATTGCCGGGACACGATCGGGATAAGGCAAGCGCCGTGCTCCTCCCAGTAGTTCTACTTGACACCGTTTCAGTGGAACCCACTTCACATCCTCACCACACCAGCAGAGATGCTGCAGCTCCAGAAGAACACCCTCTCGGCGCGCGTGTCCCGCGTGAGTAGCGGCCTCGAGGTGTCCGAAGCCCTCTGTATAGCAACTGTACAGCGGACCTGACACTCAACGGGCCTGGATCAGAGACGGGCCTGGATCAGAGACGGGGAGAGGATCTCCTGTGCCGGGCGCAGCGGCCATCTCGCTTTTGGCGACCCCGTGGCCCTAAGCATCAACACATGTGGACCTCTTACACGTTCAACAGCACCTGCAGTGCTCAGACCCCCTCTTCATATCTTATGCGCTGGCGGCCTCCCTGCAACCACCCCCTCCACAGCGCTCCACCGTGAGCGTGCAGGCGCGCCGCACCGTCAAGAGCTCGAGCTCTGACTCTGCCTGGTATGGTGAGCTTCACTGCGGCAGCTCAAAATGTTGGACGGCAGTTTGATGCGTGTGGAGGCGGTATGCTGCGTGTGGATCTTGGTGCCGCATCAGGATCTTGGACGCCTTTAGAGGCTGCATGCGTGTCTTTGACCACATCGTGGGCATATCAAGGATCTTTGCAGCCTAGCGACAGTTGCAGTGGCAGCATTCACTGCGACATTCAGTCCACTGCGAAACCACTTGTCGCCATTGGCTCGCCGGGTCCCCCTGGGCATTCTTGGCAAGTCCCCGATGGTGCGATCAGATGCTCTCCCGTTGCTGTTCACGCACCATTACCCCTCCCGCACAGGCCCCGACCGCCCCAAGTACCTGGGCAGTCTCTCCGGTGAGACCCCCTCCTACCTGACCGGCGAGTTCCCCGGTGACTACGGCTGGGACACCGCCGGCCTGTCGGCCGACCCCGCCACCTTCGCCCGCTTCAGGAAGATCGAGCTGATCCACGCCCGCTGGGCCATGCTCGGCGCCCTGGGCTGCGTGACCCCTGAGCTCCTGGCCAAGAACGGCGTGCCGTTCGGCGAGTCTGCCGTCTGGTTCAAGGCCGGCACTGCCATCTTCGCCGAGGACGGCCTCAACTACCTGGGCAACCCCAACCTGGTGCACGCCCAGTCCATCCTGGCCACCCTGGGCTTCCAGGTGCGGGATGAAAGCTCTGGAGCCGCTGATATGCCGGGTGCAGGAGCAGGCCTGAGGGGCAGCGGACTGCATGAATCTCCTTGTGCAGCACTCTGCACCCTCTCAGCGACAGATGTTCACTGCACACGACCCCCTCCTACACACCCTCAGTTGGTCGTCATGGGCCTGGCTGAGAGCTACCGCGCCAACGGTGAGGGCCCCGGCGGCTTCGCTGAGGGCCTGGACTCCGACTACCCCGGCGGTCCGTTCGACCCCCTTGGCCTGGCCGACGACCCCGACACCCTGGCTGAGCTCAAGGTCAAGGAGATCAAGAACGGCCGCCTGGCCATGTTCTCCATGTTCGGCTGTGAGTCTCATTCATGCGGCTACTCTGGCAGCTGGCATGGTTGGAGGGCAATGGTTGTGTTGAGGTCCATCATAAATTGGTACAGCTGCGTCCTTTTCGTGGTACTGTGCCATTTGCCTGCCCGTGCCGCTGACAACCTTATCCTCTGCTGCACCGCGGGCCTGCCGCACAGTCTTCGTCCAGGGCCTGGTGACCCGCGAGGGCCCCATCGCCAACCTGGACAGCCACCTGGCTGACCCCGGCGTCAACAACGCCTGGTGGGTTTGGGTGCCAAGGACAAACTGCTGGCAGCGCGCTGCACACAGGCACAGGGTGTCTGTGTACAGGCGACCTTGTACTGTCGGCACGCTTTCGTTGGCACCACAGCCTAAATATCTCTATCTCCCCTTCACCTTGCACAGGGCCTTCGCCACCAAGTTCGTCCCCACCCTGTAAGCGGCCTGACCTTGACTGGTTTTTGAGCGGCAGTGGTGACGGCGTGCTTGCCATGACCTGGGGGTTCATTGAGCGGCGGCCTTGTGGCTGACTTGCCATACAGCCCGACAGGATTTGCGCGGCTGCCGACAGCGCTGCTTGCGATGGCCTGGACTGGAGCGGTGTGAATGTTTGTGGGCTCAGCAAGAGAGGTGTAATGAGTGGAACGAAAGTTTGTGCAATGAAGATCAGCAGCTAGAGCATGTGGAGCCTGCTGCAGCTGGCGCACCAGCTGCTGAGACTGGCGATTCAGCAGCGTGACATCAACATGAATCCGTCATCATTTACAGACACGAAGGCAGTGTGGTGAATATCACTAAGGTGTCATGTCAGTCAAGGAGTGGGTCTGCAGTGTGACATAAATACAGCTGACATGCATGCATGCAGTCGACACGCGAACCAGTAATGAGAACAGGCTAGTGGGGATGTTGTGTGAGAGCAAGTCATTAGGCACTGAGAGTATGCTGGCTCAGGGCAGGGTGGAAAGTGAGGTGTCCACTGTGAAAGGAGTGCAGGTGCTGCCCGCCATGCATGCAGTCGCTGAGTGTAAGGGGCGGCCGGGAATGTGCATTGCTGACAACCATGGCAACGCAAGATCAGAAGCGCCAGCTGTACAGCCAACAGATGGCAGGCGCAGTGTCAACTGCACCTGTGGCGCAGAAACAGCTTGCGCTTGGAGAGCACCCCAGTAGTGCGTCAAGGAGTGTGCCCTCCAAGATCTCGCCGCCGTGCACGCAGACGCCAACAGCTTCATCTGCAGCCCAGTGCACCTTGCGTATCGGTCGCCAGTTGAGTCAAGTGCTCAGGACAGACGCACAAATGTCACAGCATGTCCAAACGGTGTGTTTGCATGCTGCAAATGCGTATTTGAGTGTGTTGCCGACGCAGCTAAACGTCAACCGAAGGCAGACCAACAAGCGCACAGCGTGTCAAAACCCACAGCTGCTGGGTTCCTTATGCCTAGTGGTGGGTGTTGTATGCAGCCACAGGATGATGGTGTGTGAAGATGCGTGATGACAGAAAGTGTCCGCCGCGGCCCGCGATGTGTCCAAGCTTTGCCGCAGCCGACTTTGCGGTCAGCCCGCCAGGCGGGCCTGTCTGGAAGAGAGACAACAAGACACAATCGTAAGAGAGGCTCTCGTTTTGGGCGTACTGTTGAGCCACGGGGATGCAGGCACTACCACCGGTGCGTAATATTGAGTCGTTTCTGTGCGACAGGTGACGTAGTGCACCTTGTGCCAACAGCACCAAAGGTTCAGCTACCGCGCTCCTCCTGCCCTGCAGCCGCCAAGTCCGACGGCGCGGGACTGCCGCCAGCCTGTGTTGCGATTGAATTCAGCTCCTGCTGCAGCGCCTTGGTGAGCATGCGCACCACAGCCAGCTGGTGAGACGCCGCAGTACCGTCAAAACCTTCGCCGCCCCGGCCCGCATCGGCCTGCGTCACCATGGCAGAGGAACCAAGTGCCTGCAGCTGCGCTGCCAGCTCCAGAATTGCGGCACCACCATGTGCTGTCACTATGCCGCACTGCTGGGGCCCGGAGTCGGCGGTGACAGCAGGTGCAGGCACAGCGAATGGCACACTGGGAACCATCCTGTCCGCGGCGGCGTCTGCGGTGCTGTGTCCACCCCCGCTGGCACTGCCGCTTGACAGGGCTAGCGCC